GGATCAACAATGAATTTACAAATAGCCTAGCCTTGCCTTACACGTTTTGTACTGTCATCGTACACTACAGAGTTAATTTTCACGATCCCATGGTCCTTACAACTTTCAGTCAGAAGTTCGTTTGATGTAAACTCCCAGCAATTGACACATAATGTTTTCAAAAACGCAGATAGCAAAAATTCTAAATTTTGAACACGATCTACTTTCTTTCCAGGCATGTCAACATCAACGGTAGTACGTCATCAAGTTATACGTCATCAATCAGCAATCGTTCATGTAGTTTCGCAGGGGAAGTCTCAAAGTTTCGTATGAGATAAATAGAACATCTATAATTGTGTGATTTGATATTGGCTTTATCCAACGCGTTGAAATGGTGTATATTCGCTCGGCAAGCCTCGCGAATATACATGTATACACCATTTCAACACGTTGGATAAAGCCAGTATCAAATCACACAATATAAATATCCTCTAAGTAAGCCATTACATTTTCTCCCTATGCTAGTATTTATACTCTAGGAGCTCCAGGACCATTCCTGCAATCTGATTGGCTGAGAGTTAGTTTCACTATGTACAATATGTGGAGAGAAGTAGAACTTATTTTGTAAGAGGGGGCTGAGAGAGATTATTAAAACCCACTCGAAATCCCCCTTTTTTGAATACGAACTTTGATCTGTTAGACCTGGGACCTCACCTTTTGCCACTTCCAATTATATTTTAAGTCATTCCTCTTGGCATGCATATAATAATATTTTGGTAAAGTGTAATTTTGTATGTATTATACATGTACCTCTTATTGTGTCTGCAATTGGTTGTTTGTAAGTTTAGAACTTGTACATTTTGCTAATGCGTGTGACTTACTTGGTCTTAAGCGGTGATTTGCATGTCAAATTTTGGCGTTTGTATATACTAGCTTGAAATATATCAATTTTTAATAAACAATTTCAGCTCATTGTTTTGAGGTTACTGTTTATTTAATTTTTGCTCGAAATTTAAGAAGAAGCATAAAAACATCTAAGGGCCAGTGAAATTGCTGCTAGAATCCTACTCTTCTGACACAGAACTAATTAGGTATTCCTTTCTTTTGCATGAAACCTAACCAGAAGTTTTACATTTTTTTCGTACAATTAAAGAATTTTCATCAACTCATGGTGGACATCCGATTTTAGCAGCACTTTCCAAGTAATAGGACTTAAGATTAAGGTATATTGCATATATTATTGCCCCAATTAAAGTCATAGTTTGAAAATTTCTTGAAATGTGCTGAATTGTATAAATTGTATGAGAAATATAAAATGACAAAACATATAGTTTCAAAGTAGGTTATTCACAATTTTTGTTTTTATGACATTTTAATATTTTTAGCTTTAAAATTTATAGAGCGCAAGCAGGCACAAGAACAATATTTATATGTTTCATTGATATTATCATTCTAAACATTATCTCAAAATATTGAGCTTGAGCAGATCTGCGCTTGGTGACTTTTACTTAAAATACCGACGCAATATGTATCTTTTTCTGTAGAAATTATGAAAATTAAATCTACATCATTTTCCTGGCGTCATTTCAAACATATTACGTCATTGCTTATGAAGTCTGCAGATATCCCCCTTTTTAGAATACGAGGGACGTTCAATAAATAATGTCATTAGCCCCATGACATACAACAAAGAAATCATATGACATTAAGCTTGACGTTCTCTCATTATAGAATCTTTAATGAATTGATAGCAGTTTATGTGACCATTTTTCATCGCATTATTTCATTGCTGGAAGCTGGAAAACAAGGGCTAGTCGAGACACTGCATTAAAAATGAATGGTCAAGAATCAGTAAACTACAGTAAAATTAAACGCTTCATTTAAGCAGCTGTAAAACTTGTTAATATCCCAAAAATATATGAAATGAAATATGTGAAATTTACAGCAACCAATGTGTTTTATACACCCATGAACAGGTAGATTTCAATAAAAAAAAATTATATAATGATCTTCAAAACTGGGTACCGTCCTTGGCAACAAGAACATACAACAACCAATGTATATTTGCAAAAATTCAACAAATTATCACTGATTATGTTTTATTGACTTTAAGACGCAAGGCAAAATTGATTGACATCATTTTGGGAGTAGTTCACACTGTTTTAAAGAAACATTTGATAGTTAAAAAGTTTAATGCTCAAAGGTCACCCTATATTTTGAAAAATGAGTGAAAGCGACAGCGTGTAGGAATATCTTAACAATTATTTTTAAAAAATCAAAAATTGTACTTATCCACGTTTTTCTGAACTTCAGATAGATAATGCAACTTGAATCCATTTTGCTTTAAACCCTCAAATCAAATTTACAATAGGATGCACTTGACAACATGCAAAGGCCTAAGAAGAACAAAGACTTGCAAGAGCACAACAACAGTTTTAGATGCTATTTTCCGAAATATTAGCGGTCTTGTTGTTCAAATTCATATTCGGGGAGGAAGTTCAATTTCTGGAGGAGTCTTTTAAACAAATTTTTGCAAAAAAATGAAAGGTGTATGAGAGGAAGGAAACAGAATGAGGAGTCCACTACATTAAATTTCTTCAAGACAGCGTCCAAATCCATAGGCCATGAAGAGTAAAGGAGTTTTGGGAATAAACAGAGGGTCAATGTTACGTCACACCAACAGAATTTGCCAGATCTTTGAACCTTTGATTTGTTTCATTTCCCAAACTTCATCAAAAACAATCATCAGAAAGAAAAAAAACAAGTACAGCAAATCATAGGATATGCCATATCCCAGTATACCAAGGGTCATGCTCAAAAATGAGTTCTAAAAACAATTAGAAATTGAATAAAAATGTTACGGACATGTATTTTAATCAAAACAGAATATTTTCGTTAATTCATGAAGACTAAATTATAGAGAAAAAACTTTTTTTGTTTTTTCCGAATCCCAATGACATTATTTATTGAACGTCCCTCGTATAATTATATATTTCTCCGTCAAAGTTTGATTTTGAGGGCATATATTGGTCATTACCGATTAAAGTCCTTTGTGATTCGGAAGAAAGAGTTAAATTAGTCCGATCCTCAGGTTTATAAAATTGGCAGTTAAGTGATCAAAAGTACTTATACAAGTACCTCTGAATCCACAAAATTATGTAAATTGATCCACAGTATTTCTTTAAAGTTAAAGATTAAATTAATCATATTATATAAGAAAAATTGCCAAATCTCCAATATTTTTGCCGAAAAAACCGAATTGGAATATCTGCAATGCATTTTCTAATTGCAAATTGATCAACAAATATATTTTAGGTTAAAAAACTATAGGTATCCAGGAATTCAGAGAAATTGCCATGATTCTTATACTTATTTGGTATTTTTTGTCTTCTACATGTATTTCCGTCATATACTCATAATACATAGTATGAACGGTTTTTTTCTATCATTGCAATACACCACAAATCACTTCTTATTTAATATCATGCTAATAAGCATTCATTTAGTATCTAAGGCTTCATTCAAGAAAATCTTATTTCTCTAAAACTGTCTTATTTTTTCGTTTTAGAGGGTACAAATGTCAACTTTTATAAGACTTTTTCTAAGAATTCCAAAAACCTTTAATCTTATAGAGATGATTAAAATGAAAATTGTTGCATGAAAAAAATTCATTTTCAAGCTTCATTTTGATGCATTTCAAATTAAATATTAATTTTTGGAGTTATCCTCCCTGACTGAGGATCGGATATCCTTAAATTCTTTTGGTATACGCAAGTAATTTTTTATTCTTAGACCTTTGTCAAATAATAGATTAATAAGCATTACATGTACACTGTATATAGTTTTGCGCATCTTTCCGTGATTCATATTCTGAAATCACATGACTCCTTTCCTTAAATTATTATCACTCTGAAATCGCTGGATGTCTTTTCGAGTAATGATGAAATGCTGAATTTCCGGATCCTTTATTGTACTTCAAGGGACAGCTGAGCTATATTCATTGTGAACTCAAGAAATATTTCCGCATAATTATAAACAAGTTGTTTAAAAAGTGTCATCCTCATATGCTTTACTATATGATTATGAGTAAAACACTTTCGATTCCCCCAATAAAACAAAAGTCTACTTCTATATTCACGATTTTAGCTTTCTTTATTTTTACACTGGCAAAGCACGTTGGTTTTAACCAGAAAATGAGATTGGTAACTAATATAATTCATATCCGTTTTTGTGCAAACTTGTTGAAACATGTTGAACGTGAAAAAAAAGTTATATACAGTGTACCACCCTTATACATTCACACAATTTAGTCCTCGGTGTACAAACTCCCTCAAGGAAATGCCATCAAGGAGGCAGTTGTATTCCAACAGGGTGGCGAAATAGGTATTCAGTGAACTTGGATTGGACCAAGATATCTGTGACCAAATAAAAAAAAGATATCTGTGACCATAATGTGTCTTCACAAACACGGAGAGCTAGGAATTCTTTTTAGAAATTTACGGTTCGCAAAAATTTCTTAAACTCTTCATTAGTTCATAAAAACACTTTATGACAGTTCTAATGAGTTTGGCCTTAAATATACGTTACCCCATATCTTAAAACATTAAGTTTATATTTTATCATTATTTTCATTGTATTATTTTCATCTTAATTAAAACAACACTGCTAAGAAATATTTGCTTCGTATTTAGCCTGTTAAAACATGGTTGTAAAACATGACTATGAATTTCTATCTATATATACATGTATAACTCCTGGGACTGAAAAAAATCTACAATACCTGGTTATCAAAATATACTGACGTTAGGATGAACAGTTATTATCTACATTGTTGCTGTAGAATTTCTTGAGGGGTTGGGACTGGCCAGGTGAATGTTCCCGATTTCTGTATTGACTTACTATATATATAGTTTTAAATTTAAATACAGGCTGGTAATTACAAGAAACTTGCTGTCAACTGTTCAACTTTTTTAAAAAAAGAAAATGATCCACATATGAATGTGTTGATTGTTGTAACCAATACATAAAAACAATTCAAACATCACGCGTGATACTGATTCTACGTGAATAAGTGTTTTTCGTCAAGGAGCATATTAAAACTTGTGACATTAAAAAAAAATCATTTTTACTCCATTCAACAGGGGGAATAAACGTTTTAAGGAACTACCTAAAGGTATTTTCTGTTTCGTATTTATTCAGATTGTTCATTCATAGGACCTATTGCTTATCTAGTATTAGTTTACAAATTAACAGTTTCTATATTCTGCATGTATATATTGTCAAGTTTTTGATAATCTGTAGAAGTCCATTTTTCCGCGTGGTATTAATTTACACTATGTACGCGGTCACAAATTTCCGCGAAAATTTATCCAAGCATACTAAATATACATGTAAGGCATAATAGTGACGGTATATTAATAAATCCGCATAATTTTCCATCCACGGATAAAATTGAAATTGAGATTCCGCGGAATTACGACCCCGCGAAAAAAAGTCAGTCTACAGAATACAAAAGCATTAAAAATGCTAATATCCAATGCATTGCGTACATTTTGGCTTTGGATACAAGGATTTGAAAATGTCTTTATTTTCTATATGTAAGTTAATGCTTTTGAAGGGTTTTGGGAAACAAATGAAATATGGTTTAAATACTTAAAGCAATCATTTACTCTAAATTATGCAAGTTAATTAGATGAAACACGTATTTTACATTATTTTAACTTAATAACAGTGTAATATAAAAAGCTAAAATGCCATGTGGAGGCAATTCCATCTTCTTCGTACTTGGCTGCCTATTCTTGCTCACGGCCCTTATACTAGACGTTATAGGCGTGGCTGCGCCATATTGGATCTATGGTGAGATAAGTGGCCTGAAATTATATGCAGGTCTCTGGAAGGAATGTGTCACAAGCGACATCAATGGCCAAAAAAAATCCGGATGCATTAAGTATGGCGATGATATCGATGTTCCAGGTAACAATTCATAAATTTTGTTGATAAGCATGACTTTAAGATGTGATACATGCAAGTACCCACATGTGTGCTAACATAGAACTGAACGAACAACTTTAGAACAAAGATATGAATACATATTCATAAAGATTACTGATTAATACGCTACACACTACTATTTAAAATAAAATTTCAAACTCAAGAATTTCATTGATATATATTTTTTAAATAACTGTTTTAGATTGGCTTAAAGCAGTTCAAGCATTTGGGCTGCTAGGGATTTTCACCTTGACCTTTGCTCTTATTTCTGCCATCCTAAGGATACGTTTCAAGGACAGAAGCTTGGTGTTGATCGTCGCAATCATCTTGTCCTTTATAAGCGGTATATATATATATATATATATATATATATATATATATATATATATATATATATATATATATATATATATATATATATATATATATATATATATATATATATATATATATATTTACAATAGAGTCAGAAAGACACCACAGCTCTTTGATTTTCGTGTAGATCTTTCAGTTAAGTTGTATATAGTATTTCTGTAAGGTTAATAGTTACATGGAGATATTAATTTTAGTGGGATATTTGCTATTTGTGATTCATATCTTGTTGCCTTTGATTTTAAAAGTAGAGTAATACCACATGTTTATCTAAACAAATGTAGTTTATTATTTCTGCATATATCTGCTTAAAATTCTGTTTTGTTTCAGCTGTGTGCACCATCGTGTCCATTGCAGTTTATGCAGGAAAATACCCCGAATTGAGAAATGACAGAAGTTTTGTCAAATTCAGTTTTGCATTTGCTTTCTGTGCAGTTTCTATTGTTCTCTCGGCCATTGGTGGAATTTGTATGATCATTGAAATAGCGAAGAGGTCTTCCTACATGTCAATTGGGCGCTGAGAAAACGTAAATTTGAGTATGCCATAGAAAAAAAACTCAACGTCTTTGTCATATTAATACCAAGTATTTTTTAAAACAGAAATTATGTTTTCCTCTGTATAACTGATGTCAAGACTATTTTATGTATCCGTTAAGCTATATGAACAACCATTCACAGAGTACAGAATTAGCAATACTAGTCCCCTACCGCCAATGTAATCTGGGTCCCACTAAATTGAATTGCAATATTTCCATAAAAAATCATAAAAGCGGAACAAAATTCAAATTTGATGTGTAACTCATCAAGGTCAAATCAAAAACCAAACTTCAACTCGATATCTGCAAGCATTAAAAAAAAAACAGACTGACAGACAACCAGAGGGACAACTAGACAGACAGACTCAGAGAAAACCTGGAGTCCGACCGGTAGGGGATTAATAAGAGCATTGAGTCCGTGTGTCACAATCTTTGTCTACATGTATATTATTTTTATCATTTATTCCAAGCTCTCTGATTGGCTTAAACTTGATCACATGATTAAGTATATAACAGCATATAGACTTGAGTTACTATTTATAGAATCTGAAATGCATGTCGACTTGATGTTTCTTAAAATGGAGATAATTTTCTATAAAACAAAAATAGCACTGATTTCACAATTATAGCCAATACTGAATATGACTAGATGTTTCATAAAAAAATATTTACTTCAATTTGTATTAATATTTTTTTTCATGTTCTGTAATTGATGAGACGTAACAATGCCTTGAAGCCTTGAATCGGATCTACCTTATATTAAAACATATTGGATATGCCTGTCAAAAATTGATACAAAATATAATCAAGTAAATTGAGCATTTTGAATTAGTAAATCCTCTAAATTACTCCATCAGTATAAAGCAAACACATTAACATTAAACAGAAGATTTATTTATATCTCTAGTCTCTAAGTGTAAAATAGAGAAAACATGTGCCTTATTCCCATTATTTTCACATTTTGTTTTGTCAATCTATGTAAAAAATAATATAACAAATGTAGCCCTTTAATTTATAATTAATTAATCATGCTTTTCTGTGAAGTCGATATATCTATGGATCGACCTCGTCAAAGGGCTATATTTATATAATACAAAACATTAATCACACCCTACATAGGCGTCTGAACCGGGGGGCTGGGGGGGGGCAATGCACTTTTTTTTTTGCTTGTCGGGTTGTTTTGAAGGTATAAAAAATTTTTACACCTAGCCCCCCCCCCACTTTCAATTTGCTTCCGACGCCAAAGCCCTATCCGTAGACAACCATATATGCACGCATTGCTTATTAGTCCCCAACCGGTGAAACCTTAGGGGACTATCTGTTTCTTCTGAGGATATGTCCGTCTGTCTGTCCATTTGTTTTTTAGGGTTTTCCGCAGTTTTTTCTGAATGCTTGCAGATATTGACTGATTTTTGGTTTTTGAGTGTACAATGTAGCTTGAGGAAATACAGATTCAGTTTGCATTATGTTTTGCTTCAATGATTTTTTGACAGAATTACGGCATTTCTAATTTTTAATGGGAACAAATTACAATTGCCGGCAGGGGGCTAGTATTTCTAATGCAATACTCTCAGAGTGCTAGTTCATTGGAAAAACAAAGATTACTTTAAGTATCGGAATCTCAAAAAACTCTTAATAATATAATACAATTAGGACTCAGGCACTGCATATTTACAAGGAGTAAAGTTATATATTATAATTTAGTTTGAAAAACGGAATTCTGTTGCTCAATTTTGGAGCGATAAAGAATGTTGGAACCGGAGAACTATTATTTGAAAAAAAGGTAATAATAATTAGGAATACTATACTGAATGATAAATAAAAGCCACATCGAATAACCAAAATATTGAGAAAAAAATAAGAATTTAATTTTAACCGCAATTTTTTTTGGGGGGGGGGGGGGGTAAAATAGAATATGGAACAGATTTAATTGCATTCTTTATCAAATTATCAGAAATAAAGCATTTGTGTGTTTATATCAGTGAAATTCTGAGACTGGGTAAACACATATTCTGAGAGTATTGCATTAGCAATACTAGTCCCCTACCGGCAAGTGTAATTTGGTTCCCGTTAAAAATTGAAACTGCCATGATTTTGTCAAAAATCAATAAAGCAGAACGAAATGCAAACTTAATTTAAAAGTCACCAAGGTTAATTTCAGCTCAATATCTGCAAACGTTTAGAAGAGAGTGCGGAAAACCCTGACTAATTCAAAAGGTCGTAATTCTGTCAAAAATAATTTAAGCGTAAAGAAATGCAAACTTGATCTGTAACTCATCACGATACATTCATATACCAAAACTCAGCTCAATATCTACAAGCTTTTAGAAAATGCGAAAAACGAAGTGAGACAGACTAACAGACAGACAGAAGAGCAGACAGACAGATGGACAACCACACGTACAGATTGACTCAGTGGAAATATATAGTCCCCTCTGCTTTAATCGGTAGGGGATTAATAACTTAATCAACATCTGTCCCTTTTCATTCCTTGAATCTAAAAATAAAGAATGTGCTTTTAAAAACAAAAAACCTCAGTTTGGGGTATATATAGCTGTCAAGAGACAGTGTTAAGTCATGTGCCTACACTTATTTTTTCAGAAAAAAACAATATGTATATGTGAAACACTGATCCCCCGTATTACAGCTTATGGCGGGGGTTGAATTTTCTCACATACATGTCAAACTCCAAAGGTCAAGGTCAAAAGTCCAGTATTGTTGATACTATAAAGAAGGACTTGTCACAAGGAATACACCTGTAAAATATGAAAGCCCTTGTCCTAACTGTTCGCACTTATAGCCAATGTTAAAATCTTTATAAAGTGGGCAAACTCTAAGGTCAATGTCAAAAGGTCGAAAATATTTATATCCATTGAAAAGTTTTGTCACAAGGAAAATATCTGTAAAAAAAATGAAATCCCTAGTCTTAACTGTTCAAAAGTTATGACCAAGGTTTAAGTTTTTAAAAAGTGGGTCAAACTCTAAGGTCAACAGGTCAAAAATATGTATACACACTAAAAGGTTTAGTCACAAGAAATTTACACGTGAGGTATGAAAGTCCTATCTCTTATTATTCAAAAGTTATGGTCAAAGATAAAGTGTGGTGTTTTTTGTAAATTTAGGTTAAACTATGGGTCAAGAGGACAAATTTGGTGTAACCAAAGAAACGTCTTGACACACAAGAAATACACCTGTGAAATATAAATGCCATAGGCCCACCCACTCAAAAGTTATCGACAAGGTTAAAGTTTTTGAGGACAAACCGACAGACGGCAGGTAAAGTAATCCCAAAGTGCCACTCTGATCTGTAGGCGACACAAAAGGAAGACCTTGACATTTTGTAAGAATTGATTAAAAGTATCAAATGATCGATGATGTCAAAATCTCACATTAAGCGATTAGGAACAATTTGAAGACAATCAATCCTTCAACGTTCAATAATTCAGAAGTGAAAAAAGAATTAGATGGTATGTACTGGTCCCAAATGACAAAACAGGTTACAGAATTTTTGTTAAGCTTTTAATTGTATTTTAGAGGAGCTGAGATTTAATTCTACAAATATAATCTAGAAATCCTACTTATACTTATAGCTACCTTTGTTAAGGGGAAATTCTTTAAAATCATAACGTCTTTTTTAAATATTTTTTATATATTCCCAATAAATCAAAATGAATTTTAATTACAATACCTATACTGGAACTCTAAACTTCATAAAACTTATTACACAAAGATATATACTAGCTGATTCCAGTAAATATTCTACTTTTAAAGTCCCTCTCTACTTTTTAAAAAAATACTAACAGCAGTTAAACCCCTGTCACACCAGGGCTGCGTCCTCACGGCGACTGCACGGCGTCCTCAAAAAATGCAAAACGCCGAGGTGATCGCAGCAGAGTCTCCTACAGCGCCGTGACAACGCGGCGAGATCTCCACTGAACGCCGTAGGGTCGCGTAGGGTCTCCCAGAACGCCAGGGAACGGCGATCACTTTGGGCATGCACAAAGTACGCGCCGTGTGATCGCGGTCTGATAAGAACGCAGTAGAAACGTAGTATGATCGCCGTAGCAGCGCGGTGAGATCTCCAGCAACGTAGTAGGATCTCCGTACGAACGCCGTGAGAACGCACATGATCGCGGCACGAACGCAGTGATAGTAGACTGCGCTTCCACGGAGTCCTCACGGAGATGTCGCGGAGTCCTTGGAGATGTCACTGCGTTTCTATCGCGTTTTTACGGCGCTTCTGATGAGATTTATCGTCTTGTGATTTTTTCGACTGCGATTACACGGCGACAGCACGGAGTTGTCACTGCGATCATTGCGCTCCCATGGCGTTTCTAAAGCGTCCGTTGGCGATCACAATGCGCTTTCACGGCGTTGTTAGAGCGTTGTTAGCCAGCTCACAAAACAGAGCAATGGGATCATATTTGATCAGCAATAATTCCAACGTATTTGTTAAACTAGGTGCATTTTAGTGAAAAAAATTGAAGAGAAAATTACACCCTAACTTGTTCTGTTGTTTCATTTAAATTTTGTAGAAAACTTTGCAGTGTGTTTATTTTATTTTATTTTTTTTTTTTTTTGTTGCATTCATAATAAATCAAAGAAAATCTAACAGCACATCTGAACCGATAAAATTTAAAAAAAAAAAAAAGGAATTTAATCTTAAACCTATTAATAATTCAGTAATAAATTATTAAAATAGAACATTTTTAATTATTAAGAATATTTCTTGGCATGATTAGAGTCTTTTCATCGTGTAACTTGAATCTTTAAACAAAAATGTTTTACATTCCTTCTGAATATATTTCAATGAGTATAGAACGCGTTGTGAACGTATTGTGAACGCAGCTAGCGCAGTGACAACGCCGTGAACACGAGGTGAAAACTCCTAACGCGCCGTGAAAACTCCGCGAAAGCGCAGTCAAATCGCCGAGAGATCTCCGTGGGAACGCAGTAGAACATCGCCGTGGGGATGCCGTGACATCTTCATATTGTGAAAATCGTACAGAAAATTGTGAAATTTTCCTGCGACTCCACGGCGATTTTAAGAAATTAACAACGCAGTAATGAC